CAGGATCACACTAATCCAGCACGTTATTATTCTGAGTTGCCCCACTCAAGCGGCGGCCATATTGAGTGGGGCACGTGAGATTAATAACGTGCTGGATTAGTGTGATCCTAGTTCATTTTATTACTTCATTGCTGTGCTGTATGTGTATAGGGCAATGTATTTGGATCTGTATGTGCATTATAATTAGTCGAAATTAATCGATTAATCGATTTAAAAAAATTTAGATTAATCGAACATGAAAATGTTAATCATTACCAGCCCTATTCATAATCTATCTTATTGTAGTAGTATTATTATTATTATTATCTTTTTGTTTCCTGGTATTGCCGTTGAGCCTCCTAAAGGATTCGCATGTAAAACAAAAACGATTTGTCTTTCTGCCTGTAACAATCTTTGATGTTCGGTCGCCGATCTGGATTTTTGGATTATTATATATTTATTTTTATGGAAATGGGGAATAAAAGGGATTGTGCTGAGCTGTATGCTCACAAGGAAAATAAATCTTGTGTGGATCTGGGTAGTCCTGCCAGTGCTGGACCAGATATAATTCAAGGTGGTGCTCACAGGGAATGCAATGAAAGGATGGAAATGACCAACATTCCAAGGAAACCTAAAGGGGTTGATACATAACAATTGGGCAAATGTGGTTCGCTCAGCATTACAGCTGCTGGATGGTGCCCATGAGCATAGTTAACTCTTGTGCTCCTCTATCGCCATCTAGCGTCTGCAACGTGGCCTTGCAGGGTCATCTTCTTCGGGGCAACTCCTTGATGATGTCACCGAGTCAACCCCAAGGAAAGGGGACCCTTTGAGGGCCTAAAACAATTCTGACCCATGTGACATTATGAGGGCTGATTTCTAAATCTTCTGCCCAGTGTTGAACGAATGCCGTTTGCAAAGCAAAGCACTGCAACTAGGTGGCTGCAGTAAGGCCTTGCTGGGTCCTCTTCCTGAGGATAACTCATCAGTGAGTCACCCCACAGGCACCCCACAGACAGGGGACCCTGTGTGGGCCAAAACAATTAGTAATACATCTTCTACCCATGCTGGAGAAATTATGTTTGCAGGGCACTACTGCCACTAGATGGCACTGGCTCTCCTTGACTTTATCTAGTGGCGGTAGTGCAGTGCTGATGGAATTGTCCAGCTATACTCTGGCTATGCACCTTGGCGTCCATCTAGTGGCAGTATGCTCCGTGTCTCAGTATGTGTTACTTTGTTATCTTTAGTAAGTACATTGTTATTTCCATATAAAGAGGCCCACAGCAGAAATTCAATTTGCTCCGGTCCGGAAATGAGTATTAAAAAAAAGCCAGAATAAGAAGTTCTCCTGATGGTCAAAAAAACAACTGAGTAAAAATCATTTTGTGTATTTTGTGTTTTCTTTTTAGGGGAACATCACATTTTCCTGCTCTGAACCCCACATTGTCCCCATCACCTTTACAAGCCCCAGCACCAGCTTCCTCCTACTGCCCGGCACCCCACAGCTGGACGATCTGGCGGTCAGTTTCCAGTTCCGGACGTGGAATAGTGACAGTCTTCTGTTATCTACCAAGCTAGCCGGGGATTCCGGGTTCCTCCTGCTCCAGCTGTATTCTGGGAAGTTGCTGCTGATGATTCAGGAGAAGTTACCCAACATACTTCCAATAACCACAGGTAATCTGACCTCCGTCCTTCCCTTCAGTCTTATATGTGACCTCCGTCCTTCCCTTCAGTCTTATACCTGACCTCCGTCCTTCCCTTCAGTCTTCTATCTGTCCTCCGTCCTTCCCTTCAGTCTTCTATCTGACCTCTTTCCTTCCCTGCAGTCTTCTATCTGTCCTCCGTCCTTCCCTTCAGTCTTCTATCTGACCTCTGTCCTTCCCTGCAGTCTTCTATCTGTCCTCTGTCCCTCAGTCTTCTATCTGACCTCTGCCCTTCCCTTCAGTCTTGTATCTCACCTCTATCCTTCCTTCAGTCTTGTATCAGACCTCAATCCTTCCCTTCAGTCCTTTATTTAACCACCAAGATTCAAGGAATAACGCACATGACTTGTACAAGGACAATATTTGCTGACCCCGGAGTTCAGCTGTAATCTTTGTAATTGTTGCCTACCCTGGAAGATTTATAGACGACATGAACGCAGCACAATGACTTCTGTACTTATGAGATTTAGAAGAAGGATTAGGATGGAGGATTCGGTGACACACAAAGGCGTTACTTGTAATTTGGCTGTCAAGTTCATGAGAGGTTCCTCAAAGGAACGGACATGAGCTGTGCTCATACAATGGGGTCCCCGTGTGGATCACAGCATATTGTATAGAGTTTGGGATCACCAAACATGAAATCTAAGGCTCTAACCAGAGCAATGGATGAAGGACGAGGAATGAGCGAATGTCAGACAAGGCCAGTTACATAAGAAAGAATCTAACTGGCAGGAAAAGAACTCCACGAAAACCGGATCCTCCGGAGATACTTCGTAACCTATTACTATGATGACTTTCTGACATTCTGCACCACTCGAAGGCAATATGTTCAATTATATCCACCGAATGTAGTTTAGTTATAACAACACATGGAGAGGCCACAATATATAAATCATAGACTGGAGGGGTCATCATATATAAATCAGACTCGAGGGGTCATCATATACACATCATGGAGTGGAGAGGTCATCATATATAAATCATGGACAGGAGGGGGTCATCATATATAAATCATGGACTGGAGGGGTCATCATATATAAATCATGGACTGGAGGGGTCATCATATATAAATCATGGACTGGAGGGGTCATCATATATAAATCATGGAGTGGAGGAGTCATCATATATAAATCATGGAGTGGAGGAGTCATCATATATAAATCATGCAGTGGAAGGGTCATCATATATAAATCATGGAGTTGAGGGGTCATCATATATAAATCATGGACTGGAGGGGTCATCATATATAAATCATGGACTGGATGGGGATCATCATATACAAATCATGGAGTGGAGGGGTCACCATATACCAATCATGGAGTGGAGGGGTCATCATATACCAATCATGGGGTGGAGGGGTCATCATATATAAATCATAGACTGGAGGGGTCATCATATATAAATCATGGAGTTGAGGGGTCATCATATATAAATCATGGACTGGATTGGGATCATCATATAGAAATCATGGAGTGGAGGGGTCACCATATACCAATCATGGAGTGGAGGGGTCATCATATACCAATCATGGGGTGGAGGGGTCATCATATATAAATCATAGACTGGAGGGGTCATCATATATAAATCATGGAGTTGAGGGGTCATCATATATAAACCATGGAGTGGTGGGGTCATCATATATAAATCATAGACTGGAGGGGTCATCATATATCAATCATGGATCTAGTGGTGGGGTCATCATATATCAATCATGGATCTAGTGGTGGGGTCATCATATATCAATCATGGATCTAGTGGTGGGGTCATCATATATCAATCATGGATCTAGTGGTGGGGTCATCATATATCAATCATGGATCTAGTGGTGGGGTCATCATGTATAAATCATGGAGTGGAGGGGTCATCATATATAAATCATGGAGTGGAGGGGGTCATCATATATAAATCATATACTGGAGGGGTCATCATATGTACATCATGGAATGGAGGGGTCATCTGGAAGGGAAAGCAACTTCCAAGCACAGCAAACAAGAATATTGAAGTTCAGGACTACAGCACAGCATGCTGGGGAGGAAGGGTTAACAATACTGTGGTCTCCTCTAGTGGACAAGCTATTAGCATGTCCATCAGTCACTGGCCCCACACCATTCGAGTTCGAGTTATTTGTGGCCTGGATCTTACACTTGCAAGCCGCAGGATAGTCCTGCCCTCCACCAGCTGTGGGATATTTCTTCCCACCACCACCTGCAGGATAGTCCCTCCCACCACCATCCGCAGGATAGTCCCTCCAAGCACCGTCTGCAGGATAGTCCATCCCAGCACCTACCGCAGGATAGTCCCTCCCTCCACCATCCGCAGAAAATCCCTCCCAGCACCAGCCGCAGGATTGTTCTACCCACAACCAGCTGCAGGATAGTCCTACCCACCACCACACCACAGACAGGATAGTCCAGTCTACCAGCAGGCACAGAATAGTCCGGTCTACCACCAGCTACAGGATAGCCCTGTCCATCACCAGCCACAGAATAGTCCTGCCTACCACAAGCCTCAGGATAGGTCCACCCAACACCAGCTGTAGGATAGTCCAGCCCACCACTAGCCACAGGATAGTCTGGCCCATCTTCAACCACAGGATAATATGTCCCAACAGCAGCAGCAGGATAGTCCATCCCACCAACAGCCACAAGATAGTTCTACCCTCCACTAGCTGCAGGATAGTCCCGCCCACTACCTCTTCCCTTACTGTAAAGGACAGACAGTCAGAGACAATAGACCGAGCACAATTATGATTATTTTTTATGCATGGGCAATTCTAATTGGCTATAACTGTCCCCAGGCACTGCCAGTGGCGGCTGTTATGATTTGCCGATAGTTCTCCATTGAAAAATATTTCCAGCGGTCGCCACATAAAGATTTCAAAAGTACATTAATACAAAGCAACGTTAGAACTATGAATCCTAAGTGAGGACACGTTCCCATGAGCAGCGAGCTCGCCCCTCTGTATTAGGATATAATGTGTATTGGTATGTGAGAATGCGAAGGATGCCGGTAATTGGAAATGACTGGAACAAGCGGTTTGCGGTGAACGGAGCATCATTATCTCCGAGCTTCCACTTTGTACTGGACACAATATAATGCACTTTACTCATCATCATAACATTCCTCGCACACGTCGTAAAGGCTTTATCTTGTTGTTTGTTTGCTTCGGCACATTAACTTTGCTTGTTTTCATGCAAGTGAAAAAGTAAAAATATATAATGTTCAGGAATAAACTCCTTTTCATCTTCCAGGTAGCTTTTTAAATGACGGCTTATGGCACACTGTGGCAATCAACATTAGAAGACACCGAATCACTCTGACGTTAGACAACGGAGCCACGGCACCCGTCCACGTCACCATCCCCGCCCGGATTTCCACCGGATATCAGTATTATTTCGGAGGTGAGAAAAGTCCTAAAGCTGAATACACAGACGAATCACATAATATGTGAGCTGGTTTACCTGCCAGAGGATTTGCATTTCTGTCCATCCAGTCCTGAGATTTACAAAGCTCTAACTTAAAAAATATTAAAAAACACATGTTAAAATGCACATTTTTAGGCCTGAAGATTACTTAACACCCACCACGACCACGACCACCACCACCACCACCACCACCACACCAGCACACACACACGTCCTATAGTATAGTTTTCCTAAATGCAGAGACCCTGTAGAATAAAATGGTGGCAGTTGTAACTTTTTATGTTGCATTATATAAGGGTAACTGTTTATCAAATACAAATATTCTGTAAAAATACACTTAAGTTCATTTTGCACATAAACTCAGTTTATTACCCAATTGGCAAAATATAAAAGTTGAGGTTGTGCCGAGTAAATAGATACCAAACACGTCAAGCTTCAAAACTGTGTGCACTCCTCACCATATTGTCTTGTATTGTATTGTAACTGTAATGTCTTCCTTATATTGTAAAGTGCTGCACAAACTGTTGGCGCTATATAAATCCTATATAATAATAATAATGTCAAATAAACAACGATGGCCAAGGTTGTTTGTAGGTGCCGCTTTAAAAGCTTTTACAAGTCATCCATCTAGAGTTACCTGTGAATAGCGGCCCTAGAATTGTTGTTCTCTGTCCAGCGTGTGTGGGGATACCTAACATGTGATATCACAAGCCCCCGATGTGATAGGACTTTTGTGGTGATTCTCTTCAAGTAGACATTAGAGGTCTACATGATGTCACCTTTGCACGTCAATGAAGCTGATGAAGGCCATGTCATGCTTGATCAGGAATTAGAAACCGGAAGTGACAAAACTATCATTACTTTCGGGTTCATTTAGCAGGGAGGAGATCAGTGAATGGATGTTTGCTGGTGTCCCTCCTCTCTTTTAGCCAAGAGAGAGAGAGAGAGATAATATATATACACTATATTACCAAAAGTATTGGGCCCCTCCAAATCATTGGATTCAGGTGTCCCGTGAAATTCCTTGCTACTAAATATTCTGCGGTCACCTGTTAGCGGTATTATAACAAAGTGGAAGCAACTGGCAACAACAGCAACTCAGCCAGGAAGTGGTAGGCCACGTAAAATGACAGAGCGGGGTCAGCGCCTGCTGAAGCGCACAGTGCGCAGAATTCGCCAACTGTCTGCAGAGTCAATAGCTACAGACCTCCAAACTCCATGTGGCCTTCAGATTGGCACAACAACAGTGCGTAGAGAGCTCCATGGAATGGGTTTCCATGGCCGAGCAGCTCCACCCAAGCCTTACATCACCAAGTACAATGCAAAGCGTGGGATGCCGTGGTGTAAAGCACGCTGCCACTGGACTCTAGAGAAGAGGAGGCGTGTTCTCTGGAGTGACCAATCACGCTTCTCTGTCTGGCAATCCGATGGGCGTGTCTGGGTTTTGGCGGTTGCCACAACGGTACTTGCCTGACTGTAGTGTGCCAAGTGTAAAGTTTGGTGGAGTGGGGATTATGGGGGGTGGTGGGGGGGGTTGTTTTTCAGGGGTTGGGCTTGGCCCCTTAGTTCCAGTGAAGGGAACTCTTAACGCATCAGCATACCAAGACATTTTGGACAATTGCATGCTCCCAACTTTGTGGGAGGAGTTTGGGGATGGCCCCTTCCTGTTCCAACATGACTGCGCACCAGTGCACAGAGCAAGGTCCATAAAGACATGGATGGGGGAGTTTGGGGTGGAGGAACTTGACTAACCTGACCCCCAGCCCCATAGAACACCTTTGGGATGAATTAGAGCGGAGACTGCAAGCCCGGCCATCTCCCCCAACATCAGTACCTGACCTCACAAATGGTCCAACATTCCCATAGACACACTCCTAAACCTTGCGGACGCCTTCCCAGAAGAGTTGAAGCTGAAGCGCCAAAGGGCGGAGCCAACTCAATATTGAACCCTACGGACTAACACCGGAATGCTAATAAAGTTCATGTGAAAAAAAAATATATATATATATGTATATGGAGAGGGAAAGAAAGAAAGTAAGAGAGCATATATGGAGAGAAAGAGAGAGAGAGAGAGAGAGAGAGAGAGAGTGCATATGTATATATAAAGAGACAGCATATAGAGAGAGGAAGAGGGTAGAGATCATATGAATGAGAGAGAGAAGGAGAGATTGCTCTATATATGAAGAGAGAGAAAGCAAAAAAGAGAGAGCGAAAGAGAAAAAAGAGAGTGAAAAAATAGAGAGACAGACTGAGAGAAAAGAAAAGACGAGAGAGAGACGAGAGAATAAGTAGTTACAAACTTTAAACAACAAATTAACTCAAATGGATCCAGCGCCATCATATAAATGATATAAAATGCCATTGGGTGATATACACTGAACATCAGGCTTGTATCTACCTGCTGCATAAAAGCAATCTTCTGCGGTCCAGAGGTGAACTGACACTGTAACTCGGCTGCTATGAAATGAACTTTCTTCATTCTTTCGGTTCTGCGGACTCCCTCAGGCAACAGAATAAAGCAATAAAGGAATGTAAATAAAATATATTTGGCCGGCAATGAACACATCGGCACAAACAATAAGAGTGCACCAAAAGTCGTGCTGAACGTTCCTCTATGATGGGGCCTATGTAATAAAAGGAGACATCGGGAATATTAAGACCTTCGGGGTCATCCATCAATAACGCTCATAAAATAAATACATAAATGTGTTATATGAAATTTGATTAGACTATGTGTCTCTCTCTTATCACACAGGCTGCCCGGATCCTCCGTCCGACTGTGTAAATCCGATTTCTTCATTCCAAGGATGCATGAGGCTCATCTTCATCGATAATCAGCCCAAGGACCTCATTTTGGCTCAGCGCGGCATGCTGGGAAATTTCAGTGACTTGCAGATCGATATGTGCGGCATAAGAGACAGGTAATTTGATATTGTTTATATGAAGTGGGCATGGGGTGAGAAATGAAAAATGTTTTGCTTCAAGTGTATAGACACCTTTTTTTGTTTTGTATGAATTAACTATATCATCACCATTGTATCCCTGGCACTCAATCCTGCAAGGATCACAGGCTTCTGACGGAGCTGGCCGGCCTAGATATGTTTTGTTTCTTTATCTGGTAACATATCAGACGGTGGTGGTCGGCCATGTTGGGGGTTGTAGTGTTCTATGTATAGAGTGTGATAGAATTGTATTATGATGGCGTCCAGTGGTCGGCCATGTTGGGGGTGTAGTGTTCTATGTATAGAGTGTAACAGAATTGTATTATGATGGCATCCAGTGGTCGGCCATGTTGGGGGTTGTAGTGTTCTATGTATAGAGTGTAATAGAATTGTATTATGATCATGTCCAGTGGTCGGCCATGTTGAGGGTTGTAGTGTTCTATGCATAGAGTGTAATAGAATTGTATTATGATGGAGTCCAGTGGTCAGCCATGTTGGGGGTGTAGTGGAGTGTAATAGAATTGTATTATGATCATGTCCAGTGGTCGGCCATGTTGGGGGTTGTAGTGTTCTATGCATAGAGTGTAATAGAATTGTATTATGATGGAGTCCAGTGGTCGGCCATGTTGGGGGTGTAGTGGAGTGTAATAGAATTGTATTATGATCATGTCCAGTGGTCGACCATGTTGGAAGTTGTAGTGTTCTATGTATAGAGTGTAATAAAATTGTATTATGATCATGTCCAGTGGTCGGCCATGTTGGAGGTTGTAGTGTTCTATGTATAGAGTGCAATAGAATTGTATTATGATCATGTCCAGTTGTTGGCCATGTTGGAGGTGAGATGAACTCTGCTTGTAAGAAAGACTTTCGGTAGCTTCCCCTCCTCCCCAGTATGGCTCTTATTACCTTGTTTAGTCTATGGGGGATCTTGTTTAGGGGGGCTATGGTGGGGAAATATACTTATTCCTCGCTCATGCAGGCTTCTTCCCCACCAACTACGAAGTCTCTCTTCTTCACTGCTCGTGTAATCGATCCTTTACCTATATCATCATGTACTGTACAATGCAGGGCCAGCATTCTTCCAGTGTATGCGAGGATGTGGAGGGTCTGTTCACACTGCAAGAACGCAGGAGAGCAGAGCAAAGTGCCGTCAATGAATTAAATGTGTATGTTTTTCTCTTATAACCCCCTAGACAATGAACATTACAGCCTTACTAGAGAAAGGTGGGGGGCCTGCAAAAAGGCATTTGTACAAGTTGCCTTCTACGAAGTATGGAAGACCATTGCTTGAGTGTAAGAAGATGCTGACTGTAGGGTAGACACATGACCTGCTCCTACACAGATGCTAACTTTCCCAGACAGAGCAGCGTTTCAAGGAGTCAGTCAATGGCAGCCTCTGCATTCGGAGGGTGGCCTCAGCTGCAGGGCCAGTTGAAGGACATCATGGGCCTGGTGCTATCGGTCGGTCAGATAGGAAGCAGCAGAGGCTGCTCTCTAATTAGGCGGCCACCGAAATATGCCTGATCAGAGCTGCCGGCACCTCTACCTGATTGTCTTCAGCCCAGCTGCCACAGATTGCCGTCGGGCATACCGAGGCAATTTTGGCCGACCAGGCTTATTTCCAGTGGTGGGACTGGAGCTGGCACTCCAGTAGCCCCTATGTTAATCTGGTCCTGCTCAGCTGTTAGGACAGAGGCCCTTTAAAACCTTCTATTCAGATGGACTAGCAGTGCTATAATCCCTATAAATATTTTAGTGGGGAGTATTGTGCCCACATTACACATGCTGCAGATTGCACATCAGATTCCAGAAACACAGAATCATAAAAGCATGCTCTTGTGTTTTTTTTTTGTTGTTTTTTTTTTTTTTAATACAATCCATATTTTCCGGCTTCACATTGCTCAGAGCCGTGGCGTAAATGTCATATTGTGCATTAGCATGATGTTTTGCTCAGTTGATAAATACCCGGAACCTCTGGAAGTAATCCTCGGATAGGCCCAGGCTGAGCAGAAATCCGGCGTCTGGGGTATTTCAGCGAAAGCACAATAAATTTTCTGCAGTTAAGGGATTTGTTGCCAGTTCAGCGAGATTCAATTTCTGATCCACAGCGTGTTCCGAACTTTATCAAAGGAACAGGTACACAGGAAAGTGGAGATTAAACTTAATTACACCTTGTGCAATTTTTTTTTTTCCTCTTTAGAGAGATTTCATATCTCTGCCTGGCAGTAAAGAGTTTCCAAATAGCTCACCTTGCTCCAAGACTGCAGTTACTGCAGAGGCATACAGCGTCTGCTATTATTTACAGCCACTGCAATCCAATTTCTGAGATGCTCGTTTGGGATCGTCAGATAATTATTTTGTTTCCCTTTTGCTTTACGGGGGCCAGTTTCACCTCTGTGCCTAAAAAGTCGGCGTGGTTTAAGATGAGTTTTTGAGTAAGTTTTTGTGAGATTTATGTGCATTGCAACATATTTTAATGCCTTGAGGGTGCTAAAGTGCAGCATGCAAAATACAAAAAACTGCACTGTGTGAAATGCATCCTTAACTACAGGGGCACCCCTAGATTTTTTGCCACCTGAGGGGCCAGGGATAAAAGGCAGCGACCCACAGAGCTCCTAGCAACCGGTGACATCACTGGTTGCCAGGAGCTGGTTGGAATGCCAGTAAGGGTGTCCTAGGTTGCTAAGAGCTGGTTGGAAAGAGATGTGTATGACCCTTTCAGTTTAAATCAACATACAGGGGCATGTCTTTGGGTCACATGGCAGATGGGCATTAGGCAGAGCGGCATGGCCATGCTATGCTACACAATGTTTGCAGCGTGCCTGCCCCCCCCCCGCCCCCTTTCCAGTTAGAGTGCCCAAGGTTGCTGAGAGGCAGGCGGGGAAATATGTAAGGGCCATATTCATCTCCCCATCCAGCTCTTAGCAAACTGGAACGCAATGGCCAGATACCCGCCTGGCTCCTGGCAACCAGTGATGTCACTAAGCTGGTTAGGACAGATCAAGGTGGAGAGATGATCCACTCCGTTAGCATGCACCACCAACACCCCCCAACCCCTCTCAGGTGGTGATTAAGCTAGGGACACCCCTGCTGTTACCATTGTATTATCTGGAGTGAATAGGGAGAGGATCCAGGATGAAAAGTTTTAAATCCAGTAGTGGAATCATAGTCCGGGGTGAGAGGGTGATACTCTGCTGACATTCTCGGTAGGAATGCAAGGAGAGAAGGTTACAAGTCTACAGACAGAGCCGCGCATGTGGATGGTGGTGAGTGGAAGTCTCAGGCGTCAATCTACGCATTTTGGTGAGAAGTCACTCCCCTTCCTAAGGATTGGATGGACTGTACCACTCGGCTTACTTCTTTACTAGCTCCAGTTAACCCCTTACTTCTCACATGGACCAAACATTGCACCAACATAGACCTTAGCAGATCCCAGATAACTTGCGGCTATTAACCTTTTGCCAAGTTAGTTGCATTTATGGCAAACATTGTCCTTCCCAACCCCCTCCTGAGCCCCCCCCACAGAGAAAAAAAACAACTATTAAGTACATGTTATCCCAATTCGGTGCAAAAATAGACAAACACTTTAAGCTGATCGGTTGCTGCCATCTAGCTTGCCTTCCATCCGCCCACCTTCTGATCTTTATCCCCAATCCAATCATCACTTTGATGTGGTTGATCACTTTCCCACAAAAAATGTGGGAAAAAGTACTTGCTCATCTTTTTTGGCAAATTTCAGCACGTTCTGTCCCCAAAAGACTGTAGTGTAGCCACAAACGCGTGCAAAACCGCGTAACTATTAAAAATTCCGCATTTAAATATGCAAAAAAATCTTCACATTTCTTTTTTTTTTTTTCTCCTTGTTTGTTCGGAATTCATCATACATTTAACAAAAGGATAATTGCACTGAGTTTGCTCAGCAGCCCTCTGAACCAGCTCGTGGACATCTATTCAAATCTTTGGAAATAAATTAAATTAACATAGAGACTAATTGTTAAAGCCGCGATCTGCCGTGTTCATGAGGTGGAGGCGTCTCATTATCACCTGAAAAGTCTTCACATGTATGAAGTGATCTTCCCCCCACTTTCTGTTCTATTCAGTCATGTGTAAACTTTGCTGGAATTCAAATCGATTTAAAGAAAATCTGATAGGAATTCACCTTTTTGTTTTAATTAATAAACAGACGGTATTCCATGAAGAGAGAGCGCTGTTTTGGTTTTCTTTCTTACATTACCAAAAATGTAACTTATTTGTGTATCACTCGGCTGTAGATCCTCTAATCATCTCTGACACCGTCCTTCCTTCTGGAGGGGGGCTACGTCTGTTCCCCATGGTCCCTGTGTGTGTTGTAAAGTAGTCACTGCTTCCAAGCTCACTCCCGGGATGAACTACAATCTCAGTACAAATTAGTAAACTAAATGTGAGCTTGTAGTCCATTCCGGGAGCAAGCTGGGAGCGGTGACTGGTATACTGGTTAGAGGGAGAGAAACATTTCACCGTGTTTCCAGGTAGGACTCATTAGGGAGGTGAAAAAACTCTCACGAACAATGAGATGTTTTGTTAGAGTGACACTAAATTTAGGAGTTAAACTTTAAAAATACATTCGCTTACCTTGAATATTAACAACAGTGTATCTTATTTGTGTATCACTTGGCTGTAGATCCTCCAATCATCTCTGAATTGGTGCCGACACTGTCCTTCCTTCTGGAGGGGGGCTATGTCTGTTCCCCATGGTCCCTGTGTGTGTTGTAAAGTAGTCACCGCTCCAAGGTCGCTCCCGGGATGGACTACAATCTCCATACAAATTAATAAACTAAACATGAGATTGTAGTCCATCCCGGGGGGAGGAGCTTGGAGCGGTGACTACTTTACAACACACACAGGGACCATGGGGAACAGACGTAGCCCCCCTCCAGAAGGGAGGACAGTGTCGGCACCAATTCAGAGATGATTGGAGGATCTACAGCCAAGTGATACACAAATAAGATACATTGTTGTTTAGATTTGAGGTACTTGAATATATTTTTAAGATTTAACTCCTGAGTTTAGTGTCTCTTAAAGGTTTCAAAACAAGAAGACTATCCAAAATGTGTGACCCAGAAAACCCCCCCAATGAAAGCAAAGGAATTAATTTCCAAAGATTGACGGCTGGTTTTGCATATCATCCTCTACCTTCCGTAATATATTATATGCTCATTAAAATCTGCAATGTAATTACACCGCCATTATCTGATCAGAGGCCGATTGATTTTTATAAAATGCATGGAAGTCTGGGGCAGCTGCTTATGTTGGCCCCAAAGACTAAATAATGAAGCGCCGAGATTCCGGCACCAAACAAAATATCTACAGCGGGCACTGGCTCCTCATATGTTTGGAGCGGCAGATCACAACAGCACCGAAAATTGAGTTTACTATATACTGATAATGGACTGGAAGGATCCCGATCCCATCACGGCACTTTTATAGAATAAAGTCCATGTATACAGGGCCGGGTTTACTCTCTCTGCTGCCCCAAGGCCAGGTTCCTCTAAACCTTTCTTGGCTCCAGATTTTAAAGCATATGTATAGTAATCTGTCTGTCTATCTTGTGTATAGATACTGCTGTGATCTTTAATATTCATATTTGCTACATTGTAGAACATAATTTATATTTTACTAACTGTAAGTCTCTTATACCCAGTTTGTCTAATGAAGGCTTTTATTTAATGGTAGGGATCTCTCTCTATCTCTATCTCTCTATATCTCCATCTCTCTATCTCTCTATATCTCCATCTCTCTATCTCTGACTCTCCATCTCTCTATCTCTGTATCTCCATCTCTCTATCTCTCTATATCTCCATCTCTCTATCTCTGACTCTCCATCTCTCTATCTCTCTATATCTCCATCTCTCTATCTCTGTATCTCCATCTCTCTATCTCTCTATATCTCCATCTCTCTATCTCTGACTCTCCATCTCTCTATCTCTCTATATCTCCATCTCTCTATCTCTGACTCTCCATCTCTCTATCTCTGTATCTCCATCTCTCTATCTCTTTATCTCTCTATCTCCGTCAATCTGTAGTTATATCTCCATCCCTTTATCTCTCTGTCTCTCTCTCTCTCTCTCTCTATCTCTCTATCGCTATCTCTATCTCTCTATATCTCTCTATATCTCTCTATCTCTATCTCTCTATCTCTATCTCTCTATCTCTATCTCTCTATCGCTATCTCTTTATCTCTATCTCTCTATATCTCTCGATATCTCTATCTCTATCTCTCTATCGCTATCTCTCTATCGCTATCTCTCTATCTCTCTATCTCTCTATATCTCTATCTCCATCTCTCTATCTCTATCTCCATCTCTCTGAATCTATCTCTCTATATCTCCATCTCTCAATATTTCTATATCTCTATCTCTCTATATTTCTATCTCTCTCTATATCTCTATCTCTCTCTATATCTCTATCTCTCTCTATATATCTATCTCTCTCTATATCTATATCTCTATCTCTCTCTATATCTCTATCTCTATCTCTCTCTATATCTCTATCTCTATCTCTCTCTATATCTCTATATCTCGATCTCTCTCTATACCTCTATCTCTCTCTATATCTCTATCTCTCTCTATATCTCTATCTCTATATCTCTCTATCTCTCTCTATATCTCTATCTCTCTCTATATCTATATATCTCTATCTCTCTCTATATCTCTATCTCTCTCTATATCTCTATCTCTATATCTCTCTATATTTCTATCTCTATCTATCTCTATCTCTCTATATCTATTGTGTATTGTCATATTCTCTTTATTTTTCTTAATTATTCATATTTGCTACATCGTGTAACATGACTCAGATATGACTAGCTGTAAGTCATGTATTCCCAGTCTGTCTAATGAAAGCCTCGCATTAATTACCGTTCCGACTTCCCCACATGCAGAAGTCTATCAGCTCACAGAATTAAACAAACGAGCGCTGATTAAAATACATGTATTCACAGATTCTTTTTGTTATGCAAATGTTTATAAAAAATCATTATTTCGCTTCCAGCGTGTTCTCTCTCTAGTTTGATATTCCGCTGGCAAAAAAATAAATAAAAATAAGTAAAATAAATAAATAAAACCGGGTTTTGTAATTGAGTCTGAAGCGAGCGTCTTTTGTGAGAGCGGTTGACTTTTGTTTAGTAATTTGCTGTATCTGGTTCATCAATTTCAAGAGTATCCAGCATTTGAAATTATTGATTTGCTCAGATCCCTTTCAGTCTCTCCGCAGCTAATTAACTGTCGGCCTCATTTGGAAAGTCGGTTTTTTTTTGCATTCAGCGGCTCTCAGCTGCTTCTCTGTGACACTCACCAACCAGACTCTGTGGACTTTCTTGTTTTTTTTTGTTTCCAACAGATGCCTGCCAAATCACTGCGAACATGGCGGAACGTGCTCGCAGACTTGGAGCACCTTCCACTGCGACTGCGGGGACACGGGCTACGCCGACGCCACTTGCCATAGCTGTAAGTACGCGTTTCCTGACTCTCTTAATAAAGGTGTATTTTTTTATATTTTTTAAGCCAAAGCCGGTAATGAAACAATTGGCGGCCGCCATCATCCATCTGTTATTTTACAGGAAATTTGGCCATGTGGGGAAAGATTAGCGGCTAAACTGTGACTAGGACAAACTTGGCAAACTCCGCAGCCAAATGCTGGATGTTGTGTCGCTAATCTGCGGGACTAACTAAAAAAATGAAATTTCTCCAAGGTTTTCAGTCCAAACTCCATATAGAATGAACTGATGAAGTGATTAGTGATCAGTCGGGTATGGCGCTAACAAAAGCTGCCATGAATTTTTAGCCTCAGGCTATATTTTAATGAAATGCCTCATCAGGCATGTAAGATGCTTCTCTGTGGATGCGCTACTGCCTTCTTGAGGTCAAACTCCACCCAATGGGGTCACAAGGGGGGCGCGGGGGTGCGGCCCACAGCCGGGTGACACCATTGGAGGGGTGACACCAAAATGACTGACAGTCATTCTGGTGTCACCCCCTCTAAAAAGTCGGGCACTCGTTCATGGACCAAGAGCCCGACAGTGTCAGGAGAGAGGAGGGGACTTCTCCAGATGGACACTCACCCATCGAGGAATTTAATTATTTGCATGACTCCTCCCAAGGAGCATGGAAGCCAGTGCAGAGATTGGCAGATAAGGTTGTGGGATGAAAGCTATGGATGGATTGGCAGAGAGGGGCAGGGGATGGAAGCCAGTGGATGGATTGGCAGAGAAGGGCAGGGTATGGAAGCCACTGGAGGGATTGGCAGAGAGCGGAAGGGGATGGAAGCCAGTGGAGGGATTGGCAGAGAGGAGCGCAGGATGGAAGCTAGTGGATGGATTGGTAGAGAGGGGCAGGGGATGGAAGCTAGTGGATGGATTGGTAGAGAAGGGTGAGGGATGGAAGCCAATGGAGGGATTGGCAGAGAGGGGCAGGGGATGGAAGCCAGTGGAGGGATTGGCAGAGAGGGGCAGGGGATGGAAGCCAATGGAGGGATTGGCAGAGATAGCCAGTGGGGGGATTGGCAGAGAAGGGCAGGGGATGGAAGCCAGTGGAGGGATTGGCAGAGAGTGGCGCGGGATCTAAGCTAGTGGACGGATTGGCAGAGAAGGGCAGGGAATGGAAGACAATGGAGGGATTGGCAGAGAGGGGCGCGGGATGGAAGCCAGTGGAGGGATTGGCAGAGAGGGGCAGGGGATGGAAGCCAGTGGAGGGATTGGCAGAGAAGAGCAGGGGATAGAAGACAATGGAGGGATTGGCAGAGAAGGGCAGGGGATGGAAGCCAGTGGAGGGATTGGCAGAGAAGAGCAGGGGATAGAAGACAATGGAGGGATTGGCAGAGAAGGGCAGGGGATGGAAGCCAGTGGAGGGATTGGCAGAGAAGAGCAGGGGATAGAAGACAATGGAGGGATTGGCAGAGAAGGGCAGGGGATGGAAGCCAGTGGAGGGATTGGCAGAGAAGAGCAGGGGATAGAAGACAATGGAGGGATTGGCAGAGAAGGGCAGGGGATGGAAGCCAGTGGAGGGATTGGCAGAGAAGAGCAGGGGATAGAAGACAATGGAGGGATTGGCAGAGAAGGGCAGGGGATGGAAGCCAGTGGAGGGATTGGCAGAGAAGAGCAGGGGATAGAAGACAATGGAGGGATTGGCAGAGAAGGGCAGGGGATGGAAGCCAGTGGAGGGATTGGCAGAGAAGAGCAGGGGATAGAAGACAATGGAGGGATTGGCAGAGAAGGGCAGGGGATGGAAGCCAGTGGAGGGATTGGCAGAGAAGAGCAGGGGATAGAAGACAATGGAGGGATTGGCAGAGAAGGGCAGGGGATGGAAGCCAGTGGAGGGATTGGCAGAGAAGAGCAGGGGATAGAAGACAATGGAGGGATTGGCAGAGAAGGGCAGGGGATGGAAGCCAGTGGAGGGATTGGCAGAGAAGGGCAGGGGATGGAAGACAATGGAGGGATTGGCAGAGAGGGGCGCGGGATGGAAGCCAGTGGAGGGATTGGCAGAGAAGAGCAGGGGATAGAAGACAATGGAGGGATTGGCAGAGAAGGGCAGGGGATGGAAGACAATGGAGGGATTGGCAGAGAAGGGCAGGGGATGGAAGCCAGTGGAGGGATTGGCAGAGAGGGGCGGGGGATGGAAGCTAGTGGGGGGGTTGGCAGGGAAGGGGGGAAGGGGCGCGGGATGGAAGCCAGTGGAGGGATTGGCAGAGAAGGGCAGGGGATGGAAGACAATGGAGGGATTGGCAGAGAAGGGCAGGGGATGGAAGCCAGTGGAGGGATTGGCAGAGAGGGTTGGTGGCCACTGAATGCTTGGTGAGTGAATTAATCTGTCAGAAGTCCACATTGAAAGACATACTAGCACATACAGTAACTGAGTCAAAAAAACACAAAAGAATAGTTCCTAGCACCTTTACAATTTCCTTTTTTATTCTTCTACCGAGCATCCGCAAGACACCACTAGTGGAGTTCCACTTTAATGCAATATTCTTGATCCCGGTTACTATAAGCAGCACAGGCATATTCCTAAGGTTATTAGAAATGTTCCTCGACATCACTTATGTAAAACGTGACCTTTCAGGGAGCTATAATTTCCATCAAGAGCCGGTCAAATTATCCGAGAACACTTCAACATTGTGGTTGATTTTATTGAAATGATTACTTTTCAGAAATGCCAGGAATGACTTTCTGTGCAGGAAAACAGTGACGCTTTCCAATGGCGTGACTTTTGAGGCAGTGCGCAGTTCTAAGTAAACAGGAACTATACCGTATAGTGACACCCCATTAAATCTGATCGGTTCATTAACAATTGCATGGAAGGAGAGGCAGTATGGAGGTGATGATTTCCTTCAGCCTCTGGACATGGAGTCATATTGAGAAAGGAAAGCCTTCCAGATATTAATTATAACCGTGATTAGGAGTCTCAGTATACTCGTTAGAGAGAGAAACATTTCACAGTGCTTCCAGGTAGGACTCATTAGGGAGGTGAAAAAACTGTCACGAACAATGAGATGTTTTGTTAAAGTGACACTAAATTTAGGTGTTAAATCTTAAAAATACATTCAAGTACCTTGAAAATGAACAACAATGTATCTTATTTGTGTATCACTCGGCTGCAGATCCTTCATTAATCGCTGAATTGGTGCTGACACTGTCCTTCCTTCTGGAGGGGGGTGTAACCGCCTCCTCCCCGTCCGTTTTGCCAGTCAGCGCTGGAGGATCGGACAGGGGAGGGGGGGGGGAACACTCGGCTGTAGATCCTCTATTAATCGCTGAATTGGTGCTGACACTGCCCTTCCTTCTGGAGGGTGGCTACATCTGTTCCCCATGGTCCCTGTGTGTGTTGTAAAGTAGTCACTGCACCAAGCTCCACCCCGGGATGAACTACAATCTCATGTTTAGTTTACTAAAAGTTTACTAGTTTACTAAATTGTGGTCCATCCCGGGAGCGAGCTTGGAGCGGTGACTACTTTACAACACACACAGGGACCATGGGGAACAAAAGTAGAAGCTCCCTGCAGGGATGCCCCCCTCCCTTGTCCGATCCTCCAGCGCTGACTGTCGGAACGGACGGGGGAGGGGGCGGGTACAGCTGGCCCTGCCTCTAGATAGGCAGAGCCAGCTGTACCCGCCCCCTCCCCCGTCCGTTCCGACAGTCAGCGCTGGAGGATCGGACAAGGGAGGGGGGCATCCCTGCAGGGAGCTGTGAGTAACAGTCACGGCTCTCTGCAGGGACAGGATCGAGAAGTGAGCGAGCGACGGTATGTGTTCGCTCACCTCCCGATCTACTGAGCCGACCTGTGACAGTCTCATTGTCACAGGTCGGCTCAGTAGATCGGGAGGTGAGCGAACACATACCGGCGTTCGCTCACCTCTCGATCCTGTCACGGCTCTCTGCAGGGACAGGATCGAGAAGTGAGCGAGCGACGGTATGTGTTCGCTCACCTCCCGATCTACTGAGCCGACCTGTGACAGTCTCATTGTCACAGGTCGGCTCAGTAGATCGGGAGGTGAGCGAACACATACCGGCGTTCGCTCACCTCTCGATCCTGTCACGGCTCTCTGCAGGGACAGGATCGAGAAGTGAGCGAGCGACGGTATGTGTTCGCTCACCTCCCGATCTACTGAGCCGACCTGTGACAGTCTCATTGTCACAGGTCGGCTCAGTAGATCGGGAGGTGAGCGAACACATACCGGCGTTCGCTCACCTCTCGATCCTGTCACGGCTCTCTGCAGGGACAGGATCGAGAAGTGAGCGAGCGACGGTATGTGTTCGCTCACCTCCCGATCTACTGAGCCGACCTGTGACAGTCTCATTGTCACAGGTCGGCTAGAACTATGAGGTGAGTGAAAAGCACCCCCCCCTCCCCCCACTCATAGTTCTCCTTTAAGGTATCTGAATGCATTTTTAGGATTTAACATATTGGAAGCAATGGCAGGAACCCAACTACGAAGCCTCATAACTGCCCCTGTACGGCACTTTTAACCCGCCACATTTAGAGCAGAGCTGTGAGCAGCCCTTAAATGAGTTCCAGGCAGCCCGTCATGTTAGTAAATAATTAATTAGCCACTACTCTATTAATATTGCGCTGAAACCCATAAAACATGTCTCATTAAAGAGCGTAGAACAGAGGCTGCGACATGCTTGATGATGTTTAGCACTTTCTCAAGTGTTTGTTCAACAAGGGTTGAGAGTTATTAGTGCAAATTAAGTCATCACGTGTCGGGGAATTTTCCATCTCTCCATCACAAAGTTTTGTGCCTGAATCATCCTCTGATTTTAGCTGTGCAATTATTCTTGCATTCATTAATGGCCAGTTTAAATCTGAACTCCAGGCAGATATAAAAGATACAAGTTGATGCAGTTCTGTAATCATTACTACAACCTTAAATGTGTTTATTTATTTTAATTGCAAGCAAGCAGTGTAAGTACCGGCTTCTAACTTGGTGTCATTCACTGCCCAGGCACAGTGTGGGGAGGAGACCTCTGTATGTGAAAGTGATATTGCAGCAGAGAAAAATCAGGTCCCCTTCCCAGCCAGGCAGGATCAACAGTTATATAGATAGAACAAAATAACTTAAGACACTTAATTGAATTTTTAACATACCAAAAGGAAGCATATTTATTGTGCCCCCCCCCAACCACCACCAATGGTATGCAGATTTATCCTACTATTCCCTTTATCAGTTGCATACTTACTAAGTGTTGAAATTGAGTCCCAGGTCTGTACACCTGCTTTGCCCATTTTGATGGGTTCCTGCCATCCCTGAGCTGAGTTTCCGGGGGTGTACACCTGCGGTACTCATTATAAGGGGTTCCCACCATCCTGTGCTGAGTTCCCAGGCAGGTCTTTACACCTGATGTGCCCATTATGAGGGCCCCCACCATCCCTGTGCTGAGTTCCCGGGTCTGTACACCCGCTGTGCCCATTATGAGGGGCACCACCACCATCCCTATGCTTGGTTTCTAGGTCTGTACATATGGTGTGCCCAGTATGAGGGTCTTTCATCATCCCTTCACTGAGTTCCTGAGTCTGTACACCTGCTGTGCCCATTATGAGGGGTTCCCATCATTCCTGCTTTGAGTTCCCAGGTCTGTACACCTGCTGTGCCCAGTATAAAGGGTTCCCTCCATACCCGTGCTGAGTTCCCGGGTCTGTACACCTAATGTGCCCATTGTGAGGGGTTCCTACCATCCCTGTGCTGAGTTTCCAAGTCTGTATACCTGTTGTGACCATTATAAGGGGTTCCCACCCAAAAAAATAAATGTTACAGGGGTTTTAATCATTCCCTATTGTATAAAAGAGTCTATACATACTCTTTAAACTGTATAGGTGAAGTGAAGACAAAAGGAAAGCTGCGGAACAGGAATAGAAACCATTGGATGGGGCATTCCACATTTTATTGTGACACTTCTGCTAATGTATTTGATGTTCCAATTATTCCAATTAATAGAATAGTCAAGCACAAAGGTTACCCGTCCGACTACTACTACATTGACTCGGATGGCAGCGGGCCTCTCGGACCTGTGCGTGTCTACTGCAATTTAACCGGTAAGCCATACAGCATCCTCTTTCATATTTAACTCTGTCCTTAAATATTTCACCGCCATTCCCTTCTAGAGCGGATTAGCGGAGACATCAAGCTTATTCAGAGCAGCAGGAGCCCAATTTGCTCTGGTTCAGTGTGAGAATCACTCTGTGCCTTCAGCCTTCTAATGGAGTCTGTTGCTTCAAATTTAAACCATCATCACCTGCGTCCGAGAGCAGCCGCAGCGAGGGCGCCTTTCTTTCCGAAAGGGGCTGTTGTCATGAACGCGGCAGGCAGATGATATGGCAGCTGGTGTCCACCATTTAAGACCAGCAGAGACCTTTTTCAGGCATGCAGCAGGAGTCACCGAAGCGGACAGCTGATTGCAAATTGCCTGCACATAATATACAGTTTAATTTCTGAGCGTGCTGAAAAACTCATATTTTAGCAATTGTAGCTGTATGAGCTGTACACGTGCCTGCTCTTGCTCATTTGAAGCTTCAAGCTCTGTATTGCGTTGTGCCATTTAAAGAGCTCTTTTAAAAGAGGAAGTCAATACAAACAGTAGTCTCTCATGTGCTGTTGGCCGCGAGACTAAACATATCACGAAGGTGGCGCACTACTGACCTGCCTACGATCCACCATGTAGTATCCTTGGTTCATATTCATTGCCAGTACGAAAGAGCTTTGTCACTTCCTGGCGGGGCGATAGATAGATAGATTTAATAAGCATTGGGCGCCATGGAATGTGTGGTATTCATCTGATGTAGGAATGTAGGCCCCTCCATTGACCCATACTGTAGACACTTACCCTGTATCCTCTAGGACCATACCTACTGTCGGGAGGAGAACGGGTCGATGGGAATGTTATATTTGATTTATGTCGTGTATACGGCTTTAATCAATAGTGTACATGTTTTGATATGTGTGTCTAGTTTGTACCTTTTCTTTCTGGATTGATGTGAAAAATTGAATACAAATTTAAATTAAAAGAGGAAGTCAATACCCTCTGAACTGGGCTCCCAGCTGCTAATTGGTGGCGGTGTGTGACCTTGAACACCTGCTGATTAGCTGTTGTTCCAACTCTTCCAAGTGGCCCACTGGAGCTCTGTAACTTTGGCTCTGGTTAGGCATCGCTGGCTACAGAAACCCATTGGTTTCCTATATTAGTTCCGCATTCAGAAGGAAAATGAATACCCCCTGAATTGGTCTGCCAGCTGCTGACTCGTGAGGGGAGGGGGTGTAGCCATGGACACCTGCTAATTTGCTTTTGTACCAGCACTGCTGAGTGGCCAACCAGAGCTCTGTAACTCTCGTTAGACATCACTGCCCACAGAAACCCAATGGCTTCCCATATAAGTTTTGCTTTCAGAAAGGAAGTGAATACCCACTGACCTGGCCTCCCAGCTGCTGATTGGTGGGGATCTGTAACCTTAGACACATTAGCTGATTAGCTGTTGTACCAGCACTGCCAACTGGCCCACCCAAATTCTGTAACTTTTCGTTTGACTTTGGTTGGCAACCACTGCCCACAGAAACCCGTTGGTTTCCCAAATATTGGCTCCACATCTAGAAAGGACGTGCATACCCTCTGAACTGGCCTTCCAGCTGCTGATTGGTGGGGATCTGTAACCTTAGACACATTAGCTGATTAGCTGTTGTACCAGCACTGCCAACTGGCCCACCCAAATTCTGTAACTTTTTGTTTGAATTTGTTTGGAAACCACTGCCCACAGAAACCTGTTGGTTTCCCAAATATTGGTTCCACATCTAGAAAGGAAGTGAATATCCTCTGAACTGACCTATCAGATGCTGGTTGGTGGGTTTCTTTAGCTTTGAATCTGCTAATGAGCTAGTGTAGCAGCTCTGCCTAGTGGCTCACCAGAGCTCTTTAACTTTATGTGGCTCTGGTTGGACATCACTGCCCACAGAAACCCATTGGTTTCCCATATTGATTCCACTATAGAAAGGAAGTGATTATCCTCTGAACTGGCCTATAAGCTGCTGATCAATGGAGGTTTGTAGCCTTGGACACCTGCTGATGAACTGTTTTATCAACTCTACCAAGTGGCCCACTGGCGGTCTGTAAGTTTGAGGAGAAATCTAATGGAGACACCTGTTCCAGTTACAACTGACTAAGACCGGGTGTAGATCTTTGCAGTTCATTAACGCATCCCAATGTGTGTTATGCCACGCTTAAATGAGCATTGCTGTAAGGCAGCTCATTCATTTGATGGTTGACACACAATGACAGTTAACATCTGTGCTTTGCAGTGTGCTAAAACTCAGATCTGTTGTGTTGCATAGGAGATGTGTGTTGGGGACTTTAAAGCAGACCTTTCAAAATGTGAGGTCCTCTTGCACTGTCCAGAACCCCTTTCCAAACCAGCTACTATCAGTAGGTGTAAAATGTAAAGAAAAAATGTATATGTATACTTAGAAGAGAACTAAAGACAAACCTTTGTTTTGGATGTAGTCCTCTTTTGGGTCAAAGGAGTACTTTTTCTAATACTCCTGTGACCCAAAGTCAGTATCTATCGGACAACTGTCTGCTATTTGCTGATAGCGCCGGGAAAGATCATGACAATATTGTCTGGATCCACCCTGCTGCCGGATTGACAGCTGGCTCTGCCTCTCCTGACAGTGGTGGAGGAATGGAGAGGGGAGGGGGAAATCCCTGTGGGAAGCAGTGACTGAAATTATGGGGATCAGTGTATTTCACTCTCCCCATAATTTTCTTTTAAAAAAGACTGTGACCGTCAGTGGTTCGTGATTGATCAGCTCTCAATCTATAGAGCTGGACTGTGATGCCAGCTCTAGGTATTGAGAAGAGTACATTTTACTCACCCAATACTTCACCTTTAATTGACCTCATCTTCCACATTGCTGGATGTGACATCACCATCCTTTAGGGAAGATGCCTGGGGAATGTAGAGCAGGCACAACCACGCAAGAAGACACTCCAGTCCATTGCAAGAGCATCTTCTTGCAAGACCTCAGCTGCTCAACGGATGGATTGTGACACCATCCTCGCCTAGGCACCACGGGTGAAAGATGGTGGTGAGGTAACTACAAACCCTAACTTTTTTCTTTACAGGAAAAGTTGCTAGATAGAGTGGACTTTGCATTTTTACTACAAGGTCTACTTTCACCTATCTACCCTTACACATCCCAGCTGCATTTGTGACCCTAGTTCATGTTCTTGGCCTCTATGGGGCTTTCCCCCAAGGCAGGAGATGCTCTGTAGACAGTCCCATAGAAATCAGGAAATTCTACTCTACACACATGGACAGCAGCCGAGCCATCTTTAACATTGATTGGACCCTGGGCAACCATTTTCTTGCGCAGCCCCTACCCGCCATACCCTGACCGACCCACACCATGCAATGCAGAGCAGTTAGGAGGAGACATCAGAGGGAGACTTAACCCTGTGTGAGACATCACGCGGTAATGCTATGCGGTGTACAGCAGGGAAGGAACAACACTATGTGATACCGATCGCACAGTAAACAGAACAGTGCCACGTGTGTATCTTTGGTGGGCTATAAAGGGCCAATGTAACACATAAAAGGAAACAATGATAAATGAACACTTCTTCATAAAAGATGTGCATTTATTCTATTTTTTTTGCATAAGAGCCAGTAAAGCATAGCAACCGCGATCGTGGGTGCAATGCTGTGACTCCTGCAGAGTCTTCCTCCCTTCCCCATCCCCACCGAGGTACAGACATTCACTTACAAGGAGAGAAGGAAGTGTCAATGGACTGCAAGTCCCCTGATGTCACCACCCTTGTATTCCATGCCGTGGTGGCTGTTGGGCTGTCAAAGGATCAGTGAATGGAGGGCGCAGCCACACCAAATTCATACACATAACCAAGCCTGTGCGGAGATGAATCCAATGACTGGGCCCAGGGCAACTGCCCCTTTTGCCCTGCATTAAAGGAGAACTATGAGATGAGTGCTTTTCACTCACCTCATAGTTCTAGCCGACCTGTGACAATGAGACTGTCACAGGTCGGCTCAGTAGATCGGGAGGTGAGCGAACACATACCGGCGTTCGCTCACCTCTCGATCCTGTCACGGCTCTCTGCCGTGACTGGGGAGGGGCTGGATTCCCCTCCCCGCCCGCTCCGATCCGCCAGCGCTGACTGGCGAAACGGACGGGGGAGGGGGCGGGTACAGCTGGCTCTGCCTCTAGATAGGCAGAGCTAGCTGTCAGTCACGCAGCTGCGCGGATCCCGGCACAATTGTCGGGATCCGCTTCAGCTGCGGCGTCTCAGTATATAATGAGCTGTAGCTCGCGGTATACTGAGCCTAGGGTGATGGGAGGATGCTAGTTTGTGTCCTCCCGTTACCCTAAGGAGAACTATGAGGAAAAGCCTTAACCCCATAGTTCTCCTTTAAAGACAGCCCTGGACAGCAGGATGAAGGTCCTAGCAAGCAGGAGGTAAACATAGCAATGGACTATAAAAAGAGGACGGGTTTTGCAAGATGAGGGGAATGGATGAGAGCAAAAGTAAACCTTGTTTAAGAGTTGACATGTCTCATTTTGTCTGGTGGGTCGTACTGCTCACCAAATGCTCAGATGACCACTTAAGGAACAATGTTTGGCTTTTGTTTAATTAGTTTCCTATTTTTTTTGTTAACTGTTGAAGAGTTTTGGATGGGCGCAGCTTCTTCGCCCGGCTCAATCAAAAAGTTGATAGTTGGCAGAGCTATCAATGGTTAGAGCCCATACAGCAAAACACGATACAGGCCAACGCATCACCTGGTACATGACACCAGAGAGACATACATGCCGAATAAACAACAGGAATAACCGGAGGCCGTAGTATTAAAGGAGAACTATGGGGTTAAGTCTTTTCCCCATAGTTCTCCTTAGGGTAACGGGAGGACATAAACTAGCGTCCTCCCGTCACCCTAGGCTCAGTATACCGCGAGCTGTAGCTTGCGGTATACTGAGACGCCGCAGCCGGAGCGGATCCCGACAATTGTGCCAGGATCCGCCCAGCTGCGTGACTGAC